TATATATATATATATATATATATGTATGTATATGTACCTTTCCTTAGTTCGTTTCGATCTTTTCAAATAGTCATTTTCTTCGATTTCCTCGCTCGCCCTCTCTCTCCCTCTCTCACTCTTTCTTTCGCTCTGGCTATCCTTCGATCTCTCTTTCTTCTTCACGCGATGATTCTAACAATATCCACGCGCGGAATCAAAATTATTATCCTTTCAAACGATTAACCATTCACTGTAAGGAACACTAGAATTCTCCATGCGATCTTCCTCGTCAAATTTTCATCGATTTCAACGACAGTTGTACGATAAAAATTGTTTTTATTTCCTTTTTACCGGGTTAACTAGTACCTACCGGCGGAATCATCGCTCGATCTTTAAACAGTTCAACATCACTTTGACTAGTCGTGCGAGTCTTCTCGGCGTAATCGGAACTCATATCTGGTTTCTACCACCGCGTAACACATTCTTGTCCTTGTATATTGTTTACGGAAAGGGATAATCGATGTGTCGGCCGTAGCACACACACGCACACACACATACACACACGATAGGGAGACTCGTAGCCCAGTGAATTTCCCTTCGAAAAATCGATCGATGCACGCTTCGATAGCTCAGGGCTCGGAGCACGAGATCGGTCAGAATAGATCGACACACACGACCGTTACTTTGCCGAATCGGTTTTGACAGATCGCGGAAAGGTGTCGCACACGCACTTGAACGCTTGAATTTTTTTACGAACCGATTTTATACGCGTATCTTTTCCTTTACATCTCCTTTTCCTGGTCGTAGGGCGATTTTCTATCGAAACACGTCGATAGGAATCCAACTGACACTCATGAAGCACGCTCGACTCTTTTCCAGAGCCGGGCAGGCGAGTCTGACATCCGTGAAAACTCGAACGACACAGGGACGAACACTCGACAGGTCACCGTTTACTTTTCACTTCGATCTCGTTCACAGTGCCTATCAAATACGTATCACCGATGAATTCGCGACGTGTTGACTGAGAAACCTCGTTCCGAAGGTGATACCGCTTAATTTTGCTGCTCGGTTATTTCGCGATTTATCATCACCATCCGAGACACGGCCGACGGAATAACTTCGATCGTACGTACGAATACTGTACGAGGCGCGAGTTAGCGTGCAACGATCGGCATTTCGATGGCATTATCACGGAGAAACCGAGTACTGACACACCTACGGCCTACGGTTCGTTCCTACCGCCCAGCCTCTATGCTACTTCATTTCCAACACCGGCGGCCATCTTGCGCCGTGACGTCAGCTTTCGTCCCCGAAGTTGCAGCCTACTCCACCCGACCGCCTCGAGCCGACGACTGCTCAAGCCGCGTTTACGATCCTGCGACAGGTCGATGATCATTTGCGACGCGTTCGCAATTCGAACCTGCTGACAATTTGCGGGATATTTAAATGCGTTTAACATCGCGACGTAGAATATGCAACGTGTCGAGTAACTCGGAATTCTACGTTAATATTCCGAGCCGTGGAACGGACTGAAATTCGGTCATTTTGTCGACGCGTAGTCGAAGTAGTTACTGGCGTAACGTATCAAGGATCTCTTTGCATTTGTTGTATGCTGCATACACTACTATATTGTACGGGTATACAACAAATACGGACGGTCCCTTAGTACGCTGCACGTGTGCGTACTCCATTTACGCGATGTCCGATTGGTCAGTAAAAATTTTAGATATTAATTCGAGTAAAAATCATATTATGTAATCTAAGTAATATAATATCGAAATAAAAGATACGTTTAAGAAATTCTTCCGGGTTTGCTCTAACAATATCAAATTATCTAGTACGGTGAAGAATTTTACGAATAAATTATTCGATAGATTTTAGAGAAATTTCTCTCTAATATTTTTATTTCAATCTATTTGATCAATTTTTCGTTGTTCGATACGATCATTTCAGTCGATGTTAAAAAAAAAAAAGAAAAAAAAAAAGATCAAGCGAACTTAACTTATCGCGGATGGAGACTGCGCTACAGTGCTGGATGCTGGATGATCAATACTGACCACAGTGTCGGATGCTGGATCCCGTAATACGGTTACGAAGAACGTAAGCGGGCATCATGAAAACAGTAACGCATACTTGTACGCCAGAAGCTACCGGTAGGTGATCCTGTTTTAATTTACGATAGGAAGATAAACTTATTATCGCTATAAAACGATCTTTAACAAACGAGGAAACTATTATAGCAAAAATATTTGACCGTTCTCCTTTTCGCGTCTTTTCACAAATTTTATGAGACAGGGTTCGCGTTTCATCACGGAGTTCAGATTCATTTAGTTATGTCCTTTTCATTGATCATAGATGGTTTAATAAAAATGAATGATCTCCAAAACGAGAACATGTCTTGGGAATGTTTTGGAGCAATCGTTTAACCGTCATCCTCGAGAGTCTCTGTTTTGCCGGATTACTCCGCAGTTATCTAAGTTTTAGATCTACCTGGTGGAGAATCGATCGAAGAGATTGCCGAATCCGTGGATGAGCTGCGTGAAAAATTAGCAAATATGAAGAAATTGATGGAAGAACGAAGAGGCACCACCCTAGGCGAGATAAGTGCTAGAAAGAGAAAGGAGACCTCGGACATTATAGATGGTAATTTTCTCTCCTGTATATTTGGATCAGCACTGGTAATAATCCTGAGTGTCAGCTTTTATGCCTTTTACAATCTGTACCATGCGGTTCTCAAGAAATTCCCCTCGCATCACACTGAACTGTAGAAGAAAAAGTGGTAATTATTACTTGACTGGATCAAAGTATAGTTAGACTCTTGTTATATCGCCATTAAGATAGTACCGTGTAATTCTTGATACAGGCAATGAAATTTTTTCTTACAACGCGCGACAGTATAATGCAGAAATATAACTCGCGATGACATCGAGCTTGGCAACCTAACGAGAGTCTACTGCAATTTTCGAACACGTTTTACTAATCAACATCATAATTTCCAGGGTAACGACGAATTAATATATCTGCAACCGATTCTCAGAACTCGTGACATAAGGAGGCATGTTAACGAACATTTTTTAACTGTATTGAATGCGTTTTTTCGTGCCCGATAGTTGAGAAAAAATGTTGGTTGATACCGATGTTGACGCGTAAAACGAAATTACTAACAAATAGCAAATAATTTTCAACGACCGATGTTGAAATGTAAGAGATATTCCTTTGTTTCTGCTCCGCATCGTGATGCGGAGAATTTGAATTTTGCCAGAAGAAAAAGGAGAAAGAATTAGGGGAGCAAAAAAAGGTGATTCCTTGTGAGGAGTTCAACGAAAATTTCATACAGGTTTTTCCATTAAAAAATCCTTCCTTTATGTTCATTGCAACGACTGCAATCTTCGCATGTATCCAGAAACAAACGTAACGTTTTGCTCGAGAAAACCTGTTTATCGTAAAAAGGAAAGAAAGTGCCTTAAAATATCTTTCGAAACTTTCATTCTCATGCATTTCTATAACATGAATAATTCGATGATTATAAAGGGTGAGGCACTTAAAACAGATAATCCAAATAACTCCCTTAATTTTAGAGACGATGAAAATTTTTCGAAGCGAAGATACTTCTCGATTAACCACTATTAAGCACTACTGTACATTGTGAAACAAGAAATAAACGTCCCTTTTTTCTTTATCTGATACATGTATTTTGTTGTCTCTAAAAGTAAGACAGTTACAAGGTGTTTCAAAGTGAAATCCGATATAATATTTCTGCCAAGTTTAACATATATGTAATGCTACATGCGAAAATTACTTTCACGAATTTTCATTTTTTTTTTCTTTTTTCTTTGAAATTTACGCTGATCAATCTACTATATGTCACATATATGTTTCAAGTTTCTTTCCCTTTCCTTTTCTTTTCTTTCTTCTCCTTTCGAGTTCGAAAAAAATTCCGAAAAATAATTAATTAATCATTCGGTATGATTGTATATGCAGTCACAACTTTCATATTTACCGTTTATTTCAATGTACATATTGTGAATACTAAATAAATTAGTCGATCGAAAATATAAAATATATCCTCGTCTGATTCGGTGCTACCTTAGCACTCCAGGTCGAAGTTGTATTTATATATTCTCTCAACGGTCCGTTCCTTTCTGTTTAATATGAAAAACGATACTGCGAACGGTGAATTAAAAGTAACTACATATTGTAAGTAATAAAATACTTAAGTAATACTTAAGCAAAAATATTGTAAGTAATAAAGCGAGACAACTCACGCGAGGGTGCCTCGATTTCTCGATTCCGGAAGCTGCAATCATTAATTCAAATAATGATTAATGTCGCGAAAGACGATCGGATATTGCAACGGAAAAATCAACTTTTAAATAAAATTAGAAAAGACTTATGGAAACCTACAAAACAGTAGCTTTTTATTTTCTAGCTCCTTGGTAAAATTATTCAACATTTTTTGATAATCTTCTTGTTGCTAAGATTACATTACAAATTATTAGTTTCTTTCACCTTCTACAGATTACCTCCTGTGAAATTGGTACTACCTTTATTGCATCGTTTTTAAGAGTTTCCCGCCGAATCGACAAACCCGAAATTTGATTTTGCAACGTTTTTACCTATTTCAGCATAAGTGTAATCGGATAAAATTGTATCGTTTTATTTATTCTGTATAAGTTACATTTGACACTCTAACCTCGTCCTCGGTTTTTCGAATGTCGTTCTTCAGCTCGATCATCAACAAACGATATCGATCATGACAGGTTGACGTTTTATTTTCCAAATCACTCAACACCATCTCCGTGCGGTTTACTTCGCAATGCGATCGCTCCAGCTACATGTGTATACATATGCGTCATATAGTTATGCATCGTATATGTTGCTTCTGAAACTTCGGTTATAACAAAGACCCGCCACGAGCACACGAGCAAATTTTTTCTGTGCGACTTCGTTGCGAGCACGTGTTTTTATCTGTTTTCTCGATCAAAGGCAACGAAGACAAGCAACGTGATCGCATCAAGATCACACGGAACGTGTCGCTCGCTTGCATTTAACATAATTATCGAGTATTCTTACTACATGCTCTTTTTCTGTAAGCTTTTCCGTTAAAGCTTCCAATCTATCTTCCACGCTATCGCGAGTCTGAAACAATCGATTGTTAATTTTCTCGAAAATCGACAAATTATTCTGAAATAAAATATCGTCACGTATCTTTAACAATTGATTTTTGCTGATAATATTATTTATAACTGACTTCTATTAGAAATTCTGCTTCCGAATTTACATTTGGGACGGCAATCTGAAACGAAGAATTTTCATTATTTTAACATTAAGATATTGATGGAACGTGCAATACTATATTAAATACTTACACATTTTTTCAATTCCTCTATTCGATTATTGTACTTTATCGACAGAAACGTTATTAATTACTGTCAAATCATTTTGAATGTTTTGAATAAAAGGAATTCTTACCATGATCATGAGGAAAGCGATCACGCAATAAACGACGAATACGAAAATACACAATATTTTTAAACTATAAAATGTCAACGATATAAGCCACATTACGCGAAATTTTTCTAATATTAACGATTTCTAATCGAACAATTTATCGAGACCGCATTGATAACTAAAAAAAATATTTTAATTTATCACGAATAACATTTTATCGATAAAAACAAAAGATCAAACGCCATTTCCATTTTAAACGATTGCTTTATATCATTTCGAGAATCGAAATATTTTCAACTTATCGATTGATATCGCTGTAAAGCGCCATTTATCGAACCATTTCAAATTATATAAATTTATGTTAGAAATATTTTTCGTTAAAACATTTTCAATATAATATACTATTATATTATTTCCAAGTATTGAACAACAATTCGTGTTATGATCATTCTGTTTTTTAATTAATTAATTCTGTTTAATAATAAGTGAATTAAATATTGCTAAACTTTCTCAAAATGATCACATTTTCTGTAAGTTATTTCATTATTAAATTTTATAACAGAAATACTACTGTAATCTATTAGATTGTACCAGGTTGTATTATAAACTTTATATAATAATAGAACATACATGTTACGACAGTAACGTAAGATATTTTCAGCGTTTACTTTTGTATATGAGCCGAACCAACCAAGTAATTATTATTAGCTTTCACGTAATTTAATGCTGAAGAACGTGAGTTCAAGATGTACTTGTATAACGCTTTTAAAAAAGGAAATTTTACAAGTTAACAGAAGTTGTTCGAGTTATATAACCTATAACAATGGATTACTTAAATCTAAACAAATCGATAAAGAAAATCGAGAAAAGTTTGTTACCAAATCCAATGTTTCATTCGAATCAACGATATTACCAACGCAATCACAAATTGTTATTGCGGGTGCAGGAACAGTTGCTAATTCGGTTGCTTATCATCTTGTTATTAATGGATGGAACGATGTACTCGTCTTGGAACAAAACAAGTATACATTCATTTATTTAAAAGAAATTATTAACAATTATTTTTAAGAATTATCAACTGTTAAAAACAGTTTTTTTGCAGAATTGGAAGCGGAACATCTTATTTTGGTTCTGGCACCATTGGTTTGTTCAAACCGATATCGCATAGAAACTTAATATCTTATAGCATTAAATTATATCGACAGTTACAAGAAATGGGATATGACATAGGATTAAAACAATGCGGTAGTATATATTTAGCTCAGACTAAAGACAGAATGATAGCTTTGAAAAGAAGAATGGCTTATAATGTACCTACAGGCTTACATTGCGAAGTAAGATTCTTTAATCAATAACCAGATTTCATATTAAAATCCTAATATACGTTTCTGGTAAATCACAAATAAATTAGACTTTGAAGAAAGAACAACTGAAACAACTGCACCCGTACTTGCATATTGAAGATGTCGAAGGTGCTGTCTGGGTACCTGAAGATGCAGTAGCGAATCCTAGCGCGATCTGTAAAGTTCTAGCGAAGCTGGCAAAGATCGGAGGAGCCAAGTACGTTGAAAATTGCCATGTAGACAAAGTATATACCGAGAATGGAGCTGTCAAAAGTGTAAAAACGGAACATGGTATAGTCCATTGCAAATATTTTGTTAACTGTGCAGGAATGGTAAATGTATCTGAATTTTATGTTAAACGAATATATAGTATATCTAAAATATTTTAAGTTAAATATTTACTTAATTATACTGTATAGTGGGCACGTGAATTAGGATTACGATGCGATCCACCTGTTAGAATTCCAGCATATCCTGCAGAACATTTTTACGCGATTGCTTCTCCTTTTCCATCTTGTACAAATCTTGTTTTACCGTGTGTACGAGATTATGATTCATATTCGTACATGAGGGAATGGCAAGGTATTTAATACATTTATATATGATATTTGCATCACATAAGACTAATAAAACATAATAAATATATAGGAAGTTTATTAATTGGATGGTTTGAACCAAACTCAAAACCCGCGTTTGAAAATAGTACTGTTCCTATAAAGAACTGGAAGAATTATCTTACAGTTGATACATCGCATTGGATGCCATTATGGGATAAAGTGGTACACAGGTTACCAATTTTAGAAGGTATACAACCAAATATTTATAACTGTCCTGATACTTTTACACCAGACGGAAGATGGATATTAGGAGAAAGTCCAGAAGTGAAAAATTATTTTGTTGCTGGAGGCATGAATGGAAATTCATTACAAGGTAATGTATATTGTATAACTTTTGATTATGTTCATAGATTATTAAAGATGTAATATATTTTTAGGTGCTGGTGGAATAGGGAAAGAAGTCGCTGAATGTTTAATTAACGGGGAATCTACGCAAGAATTACTTCCTTTCAATGTACAGAGGTTCTTAGATTTGCATAGTAGCAAGCAATATTTACAGCAAAGAACAAAGGAGGTTGTTGGCAGAAACTATGCGATTTTATATCCTCATCAATGCGAATATAAATATGCTCGAAAACTGCGCTGTTCACCTTTATATTCTGTTCTTGAAGAGCGAGGTGCAATTTTCGGCGTAAAGATGGCTTATGAACGTCCACTTTATTTCGATTCAACTTACACAAGTAAACAAATAATTGTTCGATCTTTGGTTTCATTTTGTTATGCCTGAATAAATAAAAATTCGTTAATATTTTTAATAGAAGGATCGAAAAAACCAGTCATGCCACCAGGTAGTTTTTATAAACCTAAATTCTTTGACTTCATGGAAGAAGAATTCTTAGCATGTAAAGAAGGAGTAGGAATAATAGATATGAGTTCATTTTCAAAAATCGAAATTAGGGTATGTGAAATGCGATTATTTAGAAGTATAATTATATAATCGTTACCATTTTGCGTTTATAGTCAAGTCGTTGGGAAGTCGTGGAATATCTTCAACAATTATGTTCTAACGATGCGAATATACCAGTCGGTGGCATAGTACACACAGGAATGCAAAATCAAAGAGGAGGATACGAAAATGATTGCATTTTAGTAAGACTAGCAGAAAATAGTTATTTTATGGTTTCACCTACATCGCAGCAAACACGCATTTATCAGTGGATGTCGAGGTAAAAAGATAATGAGTACCCGTTATTTATAATTTTATAGATTAGTTCTACAAAAAAATAAACTTACTTTACAGACATTTACCAGCTGATCATTCAGTAGGCTTGAACGATGTAACATCAAAATATACTGTTATTAATTTAGTAGGACCTAAAGCAACAGGTTTACTGTCAGAATTATCAAATTCTGATATTAATCTTTCTCCTTTCACTTATAAGGTAATCAATTTAACTGATTTCATTGACAACAAATAAATATTTTACAAATAATTTCATTTTTAATAGACTGTAAATGTAGCGTATGCTTCTGATGTAATGGTAATGTCATTCACACACACTGGTGAATCTGGTTATTGTCTGTACATACCATCGGAGTACGCGCTTCATGTATACTCTAAACTAATGGATATAGGTAAAGATTACGGAGCACGAGATGTTGGTGTGCTGACACAACGTTTCATGCGAATAGAAAGATTTATCCCGTTTTGGGCCGAAGAATTGACACCGTTTGTAACCCCGTATGAAGCTGGAAGTGGATACAGCGTAAAATTAGACGTAAGAAGATATATGTGATATTATTATTTATTTATTATGTTAACATCAATAGCATTCTGAATGTTTGATAAACGTTTAATTTATTGTAATAATTCGTTACAATAGAAAGAATATTTCATTGGCAAGTTCGCTTTACAATATCAAAAAGAACAAGGTGTATCAAAGAGATTAGTATTATTTGTTGTTAATGAATTAGATGTTAATAAGGATGTTTGGCCATGGGGTAGTGAACCAATTTATCGAAACAGTGAATTTGTAGGCACCGTTACATCGGCAGGGTAGGTACTTTGGATAATTAGTAATAAAATATACGTTTGATAATGACGTAAAGTGATTAATAATTTGAAATATTATATTTATGACAGATATGGTTTTGCTACAGAAAAGCATATTTGCCTTGGTTTCATCAGTTGTCCTGAATCAACGCACATTCAAAGTAATACAAATGTAGTTACGACAGATTTTATAATGGAACCCACTGCTCGTTACGAAATCGATATTGCTGGAACTAGATTTCCTGCTAAACCGCACATTCATCCCTTACCGATACCGGCATGGAGTGGCAAACTTAATAAAAAGTATATTCCTACACCTGCTATTGTATACAAAAGTGAGGTATCTCGCTAATTCTTTTATATGTATATATGATTATTTTAATCAGATACAAATCACTACACTTATAAATTAAACAAAGAGTAAAGTATTACTTATCCAAAGTCTTATTTTCCCTATTTTAAATTTGTTTTTCAAATGTTTTTTAATACAGAGTTTATAAAATATTTATTTTTAAGTAAGTACTTTCGGTATTCGGTACTCTTACAATGATAGTACATTAAAACCCTAATTAAGAGACAGTTTTTAAGGGATACGTAAAAACTAACTAGGTCTGTTTGATTGAGGCGCTCCGCGCCTAAGCTAACAATGTTGAGCGAGCGAGTAAATTTCACGCTAAAGCAAAAGTAGTCAACCGTGTCATCCGGTTGAATTGGTTGAGTGGTGCAAGAGAAAAGCGTGGACAAAAAAGTTGAAAAGTCAAGTACATAAGCGCGAGCAAATTCAATTTTGCATTAAAGTCTACGAGGATATGGTTTTTCGGTAATTATTCCTCCGTGGCATGCGCGGGCGGCGCGTAGGAGGAATATACACGACAATGACTATGCAAAATCGTTAATTACTCACTTTCTGAACACAGTTTATGAACTTTTATGATTAAAGAATGGTTCGATCATAAAAGTTCATAAATAATATTCGGGTAATGAGTAATTAATTATTTTGTGTCAGCATTCCGATACGTACATACACCGCCTATGTCAATTCTACTGCGCATACGCGGCGCAGTTCTGTACGCGAGGCCCCGCCTCCAGTCTTCTGCGCGACGCAGTCCTGTAGGCGTGGCCCCGCCTCCTGTCGTATAGACGTGGCCACGCCTCTTGTCTACTGCCCTCATGAAATCAATTTTTGTCGAATTCGGTCGAAAACGGTACAGGTGGCGCC